TCAACATCAGATGAATAATTTGTCTCGAGCTGAAAAAGACATGCAAGCAATCATCTTACATGGAGGAAATCAGGTGCCGGCTCGAGGGTCCAATGAAACCCTGAAAGAACTCAATGTCACAAACCCCAAGAGAACGGTCAAGATCAAGGAGCCAGTGAAGGAGCGATACGAAAAGGAGATGAATTCCTTGAAGCAGAAGATGCTCGAGGCAACTTCGAAACATGCCTTGGAGGTCGACAGACTCAAGAGGCAGCTAGCAGATGCGAGGATAAAGATTGATTGCTTGAACCTCGAACAGAGAGAGGTCGAGTACAAGGAAGTGGAAGCCGATGATCGACAGAAATCGTTGCTGGCTGAGCAAGTCAAGCAGCAAACTGAAATCCTTCAACATGAGTTGGCAGCGGTCGTTCAAGAGTATGCAGTTCAGCTGAGATTGGTGCGGATCCATATCAACGACTTTGTTCAGTTTCAGAGAGCCAGAGAAGAGATACAGGACGAGGCCAACAGTCGATTACCAGCCATTGAAGAAGAATCTACACCTGTCAAGGGCAACGAATCTAATGTCTCATCACACGATCCAAAAACGAATGAAGTTCTGGTTCTTCATCAGGTAGGAAGAACTCGTGATACTGCATGATGAATCAGATTGCTTTCCTGCACACCTGTGACCAATGCTTTCTAGGAGATCTATGGCTTCAGGCTGAAGGAAGAATCATATAAGAAGAGGATAAGGGAGTTGGAGCATGAGCTATCGGATGTGAAGACGTCGGAGAGCGGTCAGGCCAAGGAATCCAGTCAAAGTCGTGTACCCACACATGATGCCGAGCTAGAGTTAGCTTCAAGGTTCTGATTTATTCCCTTCAGGTGCTCTGTCTTGTATTGACAAGAGAGATCTTCCAGGTGTTTGAAAGAAATGGACACCGAGGTCAAGCTGAAAGAGTCCCTGTCAAAGTTGAATGTGAGGTTTGCTCCTCCGAATTGCTTGAAATCTTATAGAGGAGCAGAAGGCAAACGAGGCGCTCAACATTCAGGTCCGAGAGCAAACAAAGGTCAAATAGTCTCTCCTTCACTCTTGTCCAGTCTGACTCTACTCTGAAGGAGAACTCCCTCCTTAAACAAAAGCTCGATGACGTCGTCAACCAACTCAGCGAGTGCAAGAAGGTGAGCCCTTGCCGGTCATTCACACGCTGATAATCAGCACTTTTTAGGACCTCAAGAATCAAGAATCGCGAGCTTGTTCTGCAGAAACCAAACACCTCAAATTCATCCAGGATAGGAACAACTTTTCGAATTTTGCTTCGCAGGTATGTGCACTTATTCTCGTGGAGACCGAATATCCTGACTTGCTGTCGAAGATTCAACGAGAAATTTCCCAAGTGATAAGGGAAGTTGGAAGCGTGACAACTGTGGTGGAGAAACAATTCTTGTTCCATAAAGAGGTCATCCACGACAAGAATTCGCAGGTGAGCAGAGTGGGACTTTGGTGTTGGTGTCCTTAAATGTCGCCATCTAGATCGAAAGCATGCAACGACGGATCGTGGAGTTGGAGGAGGTGTGGAGAAAGGACTCGAACAAAAGGTTGAAGTATGACTGACTGCTGGTTCAATCTCATCCCCTTCGACTGCAGGATGAGAGAGACGGAGGAACTTGTGAAGAGTTTGAGAGCTGAGAGAGAAGAACTTTACAGGAGGTGCGATGCGCTCAACCAGCAACTGGACAAGAAGACGGCCGAGTCGAGCGCACAGATGCTGCGATTCCAGGTGCTCAAATATCACTTGATCCTACAGAACTGATGTCATCTTGGCAGGAGGAGCTGAACCATTACAAGACGTGCGATTCGTCCCCGAATATTTTGCGTCAGGCTGACGAGGTGGGTTGCAGGGAGCAAGAAGCCTTGGAGCAAGAATATGTGGTACGAGTAGAGTCCCCTTGTTGCTGCTCCTTACTCGTCTCAGGCACAGATTGACAACCAAAGGAAGAAGTTGGCTGACGCTGAAAACCTTATGAGCTCTCTGAACGGAGAGATTGCTTCGCTCCGACGGTACAGCTGGACTTCACAACCTTTCCACTGTCCCTGACCCTCAAGTGCAATGCAGAAAGTTGGAGGAAAAGTCCAGTGAAGCTGAGAAATCCAACGCCAAAGTGCTTGCCCTAGAGGCGCAGCAATGGAGCGTCAGAGAAGAATACGGAGATCAGGTCAAGGGCAGTGACAGGAGTCACGGCAGGTGTCCTACTTTCTGCTTGAAGATTGTCCTTTACCTCGCTGAACTTCATCCCCCAGCCGTTCACGGGTCCTACCTCCTCCTGACTCCCCAGTCTCAGAGGGCCAAGGGTTTTACGACTCTCCAAATGCCCGGTGAACGGCCTTGACTCAACTCTTGTGCCTTCCCAGCTGTCCAGCTCCCCATGACAAGTTCTCCTTGCCCTCCAGCTCCCCATGACAGGTTCTACTCGATTGACGTGAGTACAGGCACGTCGACGAGCTTAAAGCGCAAGACGAGCTGATTGCTTCGCTGCGAGCAAGGGTGGCAGCCCTACAGGCGACCTCGCAGCAGGAAGGCCCCGAGGACACCTCAGAGTTGTACTCGCTGTTGGAGGTGTTCAAGAAGGAGTTGAAAGAACACAAAGATATCAGCAAGGTTCTACATGCACGTTTGATTCCACAGGCCATGACGAGCTCCAGGCAACCACCGCTAAGTTGGATGCGATGAGCGAAGAGCTCGAGGGTGCTAAGGAAGAGCTGAAGGCGAAGAACAAGGCTTGTACCCGCGCCGAGGTGATTCTGCTGCCTCTGATGCCTCTGCCGCAGACATTCTCCTTCCACTCTTGCTGACGTTGCAACCAGGAGGAAAGAAGTAGAGCGGAAGAGCGGGCGGCCAGCCTTCAGCGAGAACTTTCCTTCGTGAGGGAGAGGGTGGTGGAGCTCGAGAGCGACAAGGAGAAGATGAGGAAGCAGATCAAGGAAGACATGACGGTGGCGGCGAACGAGATGGAGGCCATGCACCAACAGCTGATCGCGATGGAGGGCTGGCACTCGCCCGACGAGTGGGCCTCTCTCAAGGACGATCTGAAGCGGGAGCGCGAGCATGTCAAGAGCGTCAGCGCAGAGATGGCGAAGAAGTCGCAGATGCTGAGCGCGTGCAAGGCTGATCGCGCCGAGCAAGACCTGGCTCTCAAGTCGATGCAGCAGGAACGGGACAACCTGGACGAGAAGCTGAAGAGGCTGACGAAGGACTTGAAGGCGAAGGAGCAGACCATCAAGAACCTCCGAGAGAAACTCTCGTCGATCGAGGAGAGGGAGGATGTAGCGCAGGAGGTTCAGCGGCTGCAGGAGAAGGTCAAGTCGCTGAACGCAGATCTGCTGAGGAAGGAAGGGATTATCAAGGAGCTGCGACTCAAGATCGACAAGCTCAACCAGCAAGTCTCCGAGCTGCAGGAGAAGGAGGAGCAGGTGGCAACCCTGAGGGAGAGCATCCGGAAACTTCGCGGGGACGTGGAAAGGAAGGAAGAGAGCGCAAAGGCGGCGAAGTTGCGGGTCGATGCGATCACAGCAGAATGCGAATCTCTGCAGGAGAACGTCAAGCAGCTTGAGGCCAAGGACGCAAAACTCCAGAAGCTCGTCCTGAACAAGATGGCTGACATCGAGACCGCAAACGGCGTTGCCAAGACCCTCGAGTCGTCCCTGAGATCCCTAGGCAGCCTCCTCCTCGCTCAGGTAGAGACTCTCCTGGCCAAGCTCCAGTACCAGTTCCCGCGGGGAACGGACGTCCCTCACGCCGGCAGCCTGGCTGGAGGGAGCAGACGACTGCAGGACGGGGAGAAGATCCTAGAGATGACGCTGTCGCCTCCTCTTGACGCGATGCAGATCCGAGACAGCCTGATGCGCTTCATCGAGGAGCGAGTGCGGCTGGAGGTGATGGTAGAGTATCCCAACCTTCGCGCCGGAGCTTCGAGTAAGAAGAGCGAGAGAGAGAGCTCTTCCTCCCATGCCCACAAGACCCCTACTCGTAAGGAGGAGGAGCCAGCACCACCCCCATCAGCAGGAGCAGCAAGAGGAGGAGGAGGAGGAGGAGGAGGAGGAGGAGGAGGAGGAGGAGGAGGAGGTGGGAGGAGA